CGGAGCCATGAGTAGAGGCTGTCTGGACGCAGAGCTGCTCCCTGAGATCGAAATGGCCTGACGGGCTGAGTACGACTGACAGGGCCCTCCGGCGCTGGCAGTGAATCTTTCTGACCGCGAACAGAAATCCAGAATACCAGCCTTTTCTACGCCAGCGGCACGGAAAGCGAAACGTCACTGCCATCTGGCGAGGGCCGCTGGAAACAGATCCTTATATAACACAAGGTCGTCTGCAGTGTCGCAAATGATGCGTTCTCTGCGAGCTTTAGTTACTTCCAGAACTGAAAACATATCCCTGGACAAAACAGTGACAATGAATGCTCAGTGCGGCCTCTTTTGCATTCACATTTTACAGCGCACTTCACATGCGCAAGCGTACGGCACAGGTGGTTGCTACGGGACTTTAACACATCTGTCATTGTCATCTCTGCTGTCATGTATAAGAAACGAAGACATTTATCTTTAAAAAATACATGCAGTCACTTATTTCGGGTGATGGGCGCGGTTTTCTGCACACCGATCATAAGCAAGGCACACTTTTTTCGTTTTAATATCAAACAAAACGCTTCCGCTATCAAAACACTCGTGGAGGGTCAATCCACTCTCGCCAAATTTGTTTCCGCTCACATGCGGTAACTTTTTCCATGCGAGGTAAATAAAGGACGCATTCGGCCGAAGACGACATCTTTTAACAAAAGGGGTACCACCTATTAATTAGCCACGGATATTTTCCATTTTCGATTACTACCACCGAAACTTATCCCCATCTCCGTTCCAAACACACCACGAATAGTCTCACCGCGGCCACCAGTCAGGATTATCACTGCACACAGATCATCCGTTCCGACCACGCTTCCCAGTCGCTCGGAAGTCTTTCCACTGGGGATACACGGAGAAAAGATCACGTGTCATTCTCCGCGCAGACAGCGACGAACGCCACTCTGGTGCAAATTCCACGTTTGTGGGTAATTATCGTCAATCACTGCGAGACCGAGCACGGCTAAAGATAGATGGCCAAGGTTCGCAAGACGTGACTGACTGACGCAGAGTCTGCACTGCAGCACGCAACTGCTTGCGGAAGAGACCAGGGGCTGCCCCGCACGGTGACAGACTTGCAAACGATCGACAGTACAAGCGAGAGGTTCATTTTTGATGCGCAATATGATGCTCGAGAGAATTCTTAACGCAAGGTTGCGCGGCACAGTTCAGTTGCACTATGAGGTGAGATAACGGTCACGGGTTCATTCATATTTGTATACACACCATAAGCGCTGGGTATGGACACAACTGTCCTGGCAGAGGCGTCATCAGATACTGAGCATAGGGATACTGAGCACGTCGGTATATCAGTTGGATATTTATTTGTTTACAGTCGCTTCCAGCATATACTGAAATCGTTTCCACAATGCATGTATTGCGTCAGCCTTTCGAGAAAAAATTACGACAGGCGGCCCCATGCTCTCCTTTTTCGTGGACCGTCTGCGTTGCGTGAAGCCAAATGAATGCCAGAGTGTGCGGTATATACTGCCGCTGTATTTGGGGTTGAAAAAGATGGGAATTCAGTTGTACAGTCGCATACGCTGCACTGGCATAACAACTAATTTGCTGACGCGCAAACAGCTACTCCAAGATGGAAGAACTGAGAGGTCAGAATCCGCCCGCTCCCCCACCCTTCCACCCACACGTGAATGTGAATCTCACAGCGTGCAGAACTAGGGTTAGAGCACAGAGCGTACAGGAACGACCACCTGAAACGGCCCTGTTACTGGACCACCAAGCCTCGAACAAAAACAAAAAGACGTACGAAATGAGAAACAAGTGAAGCGATTTCTATCGCTGTTGACGAGGCGCACAAGCCCGTCAGTCGACCTGCTTCCGAGCTCGGCGCCGACGACGAGCCAACAGATGGCGCATAATTGGCCCGGGCGTTGCCGCAGCATCAACGCACAACAGTTCTGAGAAAACCCTGGTGGCTCTGATGGGCACGCACACAGCGCTCGTCGCGGGCGTGCCCTGAATTCCCAACAGCCCTGCCACCTAGCGACAGAGGCAAACACTAGCCGGCGAAGTCGGCGAGTGAGCAGCGGGCGCGCACTGCAACGTTGTTGAGCGGAGGTACGTTCGTATTGAGTTCACACTACGTATGATCTTTGTTTTGTGACCATCTTTGCATGCACAGATGCATACTCGCTTCACAGTTGCAGCGATGCCTGTGTTTTACCAAACAACTTGGACAGCTAGAGTAATAACTTGATTTTTATCAGATCGGAGATCAACTTGCGATCGGCGCGTCAACAGCACACGGTGGATCATCAAACGTGCCAGATCGGGGATCAGAGCCCCAATGATGAGCTGAAACCCACCACGCTGCTCTAAGCCAGCCGTGTTGACCGAAATGGCAATGTTGAGCCCAACCGCTGCCCAACTCATCTTCTCGAGCGGCCCCTCGCCAGTCTTCTGGTGTCATGGGATCGAAGCTACATGGCTGACTGTTAGATATTTGAGCAGAATTTCGAGACCATGCCCGCCAAAAAATGCAGCCGAATCGGCAAAAAATATCCTAAATGCATCTCTTAACTGAAATATATATGTGCGATCATACATCATCCGCCCCCAATATGCCCGCAATTCAACAACTTCAACAATATGAGTCCCACTTCAAATAATAAAGAAACAAAAATGCGACGCCTACACGATATAAATTGCATCAGACAGCCAGAGCCGCCAACTTCAGCAAATCTCTCAACTGGCGTCTGAAGTTCTGGCGAGAGCTATGTCCACCAGTCACGTGCGGAACCAGCGTTTTGCATCCACCAATGACGTCCACGCTCACAGGCACGGCGGCAGCTGCATCCATGCACAACATGTACCTGCTTATTTTTGTTGGTTGTCTGCAACATTTTCGCCAATGCTCTGAACTATGTGGTGGAAGACCCTTGATTCATGAGCTATGCGCCTCTATTGCATTGATGGATGGTTTTCCAGGAAACAATGCGTACGTCGCAGAGGTCGCTTGATTTTGGTCGGGCCTTTTTACATAGGTTGGCGCACTCACATTCTTCCGTAATGACGTGCAGAAGCTTGCTATCAATCCTAAATCCTATGCAAAGACCGGCTGCAATTGGATCGCACGCTGACCGGACACTGCCAGAAAAAAAATCGGCAAAGGAGAATGTTGGCCACCGCCAACACTTGCTGCCCACCAGAAAACAAATATCTTCTGAAAGGTTGTTAGCAAACGCATGAGAGAAGTTCACTTTTGGGGGCTAACGCACAAGCTCTTTGCCGTGAGCTCTCGGGGCTGGTTATCGCTGAAAATGGTGCGCAGAAGCACGACTGCGTCTAACGAACGCATGCCAGCGACTGGTGGGTAAAAAACTCCGGTAAAGCCAGACTAACCATTGCCCCCCCCCCGCAAAAAAAAACGGTTTAATTGGTGGCCGTGCAAGGGATCAACATGCCTCCTGGAGGAATGAACTATCCGTAAATCGTTATTTCAAACAAAAAACCTGCATACTCGACGAAAGAGATCCAATTAGAAAAACTGGCTTCTCAAACGACCGAGCGCCGCGCGCAGGTGTTTCCGATGGCTGCTTCAGCCAAAAGCAGTTCTTAACGACAGTACCAAAGCGTCAGACATTTTGCATCTGAATCGCTGAACAGGTTCAAGTTTTCGTAGTTTGAAGGAAAAAATCAGCGATGTCAAACATCGTGTTAACAAAGGAAGATATCTGCGGCCGCCTATGAGCCATACGACTACCACCCTGAGACGTCCCCTACACCACATCCGAGTTTCACTCCTAAGAGCTCTTGTCACTCTGAGACTTCCCCAGCACCACATCCGAATTTCACTCTTAAAAGCTCCTGTCACTCTGAGACTTCCCCAACACCACATCCGAATGTCACTCTTAAAGCTCCTGTCACTCTGAGACTTCCCCAACACCACATCCGAATCTCACTTCTAAGAGCTCCTGTGCCCGCACCGCCAGGCCGTCACCCGCCAAAATGGCGTAGAACTGCGTTCCCTCCCGGCCGAGCGCGGCGGTCGGATGGCCGGCGTCCTGAGACCGGACGCGCCGCGCGCAGTCTAGTCAGCGGCTACACGAGGACTTAAGACGCGACACCCTCCTCGTAACAGGCTCAGAAATAGGACCCTTGCGCAAGGTGAAGACGTTTGTGTCGCGACCAACGACGGCAGCCGAGTCGCGTAGTCGGATCATGAACCCTGAACCGCTTTGGTAGGACCACGCACCCACACACCGCAAATCGGCCTCCTAATTCTCCCAATTCTCCTAAATCTCTCACACGTCAGCTGTCGGTAATAACGACATGACAGCAGCGGAGGCATGCACGTGAAGTGAACATAAGACGGCAGTCAAACTGGTAGCCGCATAAGATCTTTAATCTTGCTTCTAAAATGTGTTCACCTGTTCCCAGATAACTTTTTTCACATCTCACACCATTGCGTTGGCCCAGGCAGGCTGAAAACAACGCAATCTGTGCAGTGCAGGGTCATGTTCAGGGCGCACACCAGTGCAGGGTCATGTCCAGGTACTCCCTCCATCATCACTGGTCAGCAGCCCACTGGCACAGCGCGCATGTTCTCAGCATGGGGTCGTGTGCTGGCCACAAGCCGCTGAGAGCCGGCCGCGATCACATGGACGCCGTGGACACCACTCGCCGCCACAGACGGCAGCACCACACTCCCACCCACCGCCCGCCCCCGCGGCCGGCAGCACCACACTCCCACCCACCGCTCGCCGCCACGGACGGCAGCGCCACGCTCCCACCCACCGCCCGCCCTCGCGGCCGGCAGCACCACACTCCCACCCACCGCCCGCCCCCGCGGCCGGCAGCACCACACTCCCACCCACCGCCCGACCCCGCGGCCGGCAGCACCACACTCCCACCCACCGCTCGCCGCCACGGACGGCAGCACCACCCTCCCACCCACCGCTCGCTTCCGCGGCCGGCAGCACCACCCTCCCACCCACCGATCGCTACCGCGGCCGGCAGCACCACCCTTCCACCCACCGCTCGCCACCCCATGCAGACGCTCCGAGCTGGCGGCCGCCGGTGCTCGTCATCCGACGGTCTAGGCACTCACCGCCGGGGACCGAGTACAGGCACTCACCGCCGGGGACCGAGTACAGGCACTCACCGCCGGGGACCGAGTACAGGCACTCACCGCCGGGGACCGAGTACAGGCACTCACCGCCGGAGACCGAGTACAGGCACTCACCGCCGGAGACCGAGTACAGGCACTCACCGCCGGGGACCGAGTACAGGCACTCACCGCCGGGGACGGAGTACAGGTACTCACAGCCGGGGACCGAGTACAGGCACTCACCGCCGGGGACGGAGTACAGGTACTCGGGCTGCGACAGCGCCGACAGCAGGCGGAGAAAGTCGATCATCAGCGCAGCCAGCTCATCCGTCCCCTGGAGCCACGACATCCTGTCCAGGGCCGCCAGCAGGCCCCTGACCAGGTACAGCGGCCCCTGGGACGGCTGGTCCTGAGGGGCACGGCAGGTCAGTCAGGTCAAACTGCTCTGTCCGAGGCCGCCAGCAGGCCCCTGACCAGGTACAGCGGCCCCTGGGACGGTTGGTCCTGAGGGTTGCGGCAGGTTAGATCGGGCCATTCTGTTCGGAGGCCTGGAGAAACTCCCGACACGGCACAGCAGACCCTCAAACGGTGGTTTCATGACTCTCACGACAAAGTGACATACTCGCAGCGTACTGAAAGAGGAAACTGTGTTTTCAGGATGTTACCGAAGACGGGACAGCGTCCCCAACTGCTTCGGGACGTCGTGCGACGATCTCAGACGTTATCGGAGTCCTGGCCGAAGTGCAGAACGTTCTCAGGGTACCACTGGCAGCCCGGCCGCCCCGAGGGCCTTCACGGCAGTCTCAGAGCGTCATAAGAGGCGTCCTCAGAGGCCTTCGCCCATCTCAGGACGCCTTCAGAACCTTAACGGCAGTCTCGCGACATTCCTCGAATCGTGCGGGCCGCCCTGAGACGGCCGGCAACAGCCGCGGGACGTTCTCGGACGGCGAGGCACGACGGCCGCCGAGCCTGCGTACGGAGAACCACGCCACTTACGAACGCCTCAACTGCACGGCTGTACCGAGAATCGGATGGCGCAGTCGGGCTGGTGACCTGCGGGACACGGCACTGTCGCAGCTGGCACCGGCGCGGCAAGGCGGCATCAACACTGTCGCAGACGGCATCACTCTGCCGTCAAATTAGAGGGCACAGAGCATACGGGTGCCACGAGGTACGGAGGTATCACGGAGCACAGGTGTGTCACAGGGCAGAGAGGTGACACAGGGCACAGACGTGTCACAGGGCAGAGAGGTGAGACGGAGCACAGAGGCGGCACGGGGCACAGAGGTGACACATGGCACAGAGGTGTTGCGGGGCACAGAGGGGACACAAGGCAGAGAGGTGGCACGGAACACAGAGGTGTTGCAGGGCACGAAGATGACAAGGGTCACATAAGTGTTACGGGGCACAGGGGGGACACAAGGCAGAGAGGTAGCGCGGAACACAGAGGTGTTGCAGGGCACGAAGATGACAAGGGTCGCAGAAGTGTTACGGGGCACAGGGGGGACACAAGGTAGAGAGGTGGCATGGGACAGAGATGACAACGGAAGGAGAGGTGACACGGGACATATACAGGTGAAAGTAAACATCCATGTGAATCTTACAAACACTAAAACATCGATCGAAACTTTGTCCTAACCACTATGCACGTGAAAATCCACCATCTGGACTGCCAGGAGCTGCATTACAAAATGCACGTGACCTGACAAAGGGATGGCCGCGACAAGATGGATCGACGGGGGCTAACTTACAGCACGGCCTAACACTACGAACTGGAGTCCTTTACAGCCGCCTTTACAGTCACCCGACACTGCGGAGTAAGTCTGCCAAACCCTTAGCCCGTTCGGCATTCCTGTTGCCACCGGCCACGCCGTGGCCCCCTGCCGGGCGCAAGCTTCCGCGGATCCACACCGGCTCGTCTGACCGATCACCGCCGTTTGAGCGGAGCGGTCATCATGGCGCCGATGAGCGATGTGATGATGATGATAATAATGATGGTGATGATGATGATGATGATGATGATGATGGCGGTGGCGGAGGCGGTGGCGGTGATGATGGCGATCATTATTATCATCATCATGATCCAATTGCCTTGTTCCGTGGCATAATTCCGTGGAATGCGAAATAAAGGCTAACAGGGGTGTAAGTGACACCCAATTTGCCTATTTTCAGATGCGTTCACACGTTCCGTTTGTTCGGTTTTGTAGTCATCCCAATGCAAGGTCGCAGATATGCTGTCTTTTCAACGTGCTCCACAGTCTGGGTGCTGCTAAATAAGATGAGATTCGAGAGCGGCAATTTGTTGGCGATTACCCATTAGGGTCTGCTATCGGGGAGGGGGGGGGGGGGGTAAATCTCTTGGAATCAGCTGAGACAAAGTTGTTCCTTGGCACACGGGTTAAAGATCCCGCGTGCCAATAAAATCCCGATCCCGCGGATTTCGTTTCGAGGTTACGGGACGGAGGATCAGCTGCCCCCCCCCCCCCCCAGATGCGGCGCTTAAGCAGCTGAGACATCCCAAGAACCACCCATCACAGCTGTCTGATCACACTGTGCCAAATCTGCGCCTGTGATGTCATACCGTGTGCACCTGAGACAGCTGTGACACCGTCGCGTGCCGTCCTCGGCAGCTGTGACGCCATCCCGTGCTAGCGCTGCCGCCCAGTCGGCGCTCGGCGGGGCCCTGATCAGTGCTTCGGCGAGACCCCAGCCAGGGCGGCCACGAGGTGAGCTCATGGCCGACGGCCGCAGCGTGCGCCCAGTATGGCGTGGCGCAGTCAGGCATCAGATCAAGGAATGAATGCGGATACGGCCGTGAACGCTGGGAACTGCAAATCTAAGAATACACATTCTCCACATGCGAGCTAGATGAATGGGAGTGGTCAGCGAGCTGCAATGCTTTATCTCATCGCCATTCTAAGGTCAGAAAACCTGTGAGGCTCTTTCGGTCACCCCGCCCCGACAAAGATCTACCGCAGACAATAAGTTTAGCATTACTACGATTACTGTGGCTACGGTCTTCTCCAACACGCACAGAAATAGTAAATGAAGGTGAACATGGTGCAATGCAGGCACACACCTACTCGGCCTGTGTCTGCCATCCCAAGAGCAAAGTCCGTGTCGCATTTTAGGCAAATCAAAGTAGCTGGCGCAACTACTAATTCAGAAAAAAAACCGTGCGATTCATGACCTTTAGTTGAAAGCTCTGCATGGCATGGCATTTTGACGTTTCGCTTCTCGCACAAAAGCATATTTTCAGAACGAATCTCATCATGCCGTCTCAGCAATTTGCAGCTGGTAGTCGGTCTATCGCCCATGCGCGTCATGTGTTCTTCTTAGGAGGGAGAGCTGCATACAGTGGTGTGTGCACATCTCACTGGAGGCAACACTGGCCACACAGCTGCTCTTCTGAGGCTAGGGCTAGGGTTAGGGCTGGGGCTAGGGTTAGGGCTAGGGTTAAGGATAGGACTAGGACCAGGACTAGGACTAGGACGAGGACTAGGGCTAGGGCTAGGGCTAGGGCTAGGGCTAGGGCTAGGGCTAGGGCAAGGGTCGCGGCGAGGGCGACAAGGGCGAGGGCGAGGGCGAGGGCGAGGGAGGAATGACAGAGAAGAACGGAGGAACGGAAAAAGAGTCCAACGAAATACCAAGGGGGTGGGGGAGGGACGCGAAAGCGAGAAATAAAGACACACTGATTGCAGTGAGAAGAAATTCGGTGAAACGCCCGATGTGATGACGTACTGCTGCGACAAAACAGCCATGATGAAATCCACCAAAGACGGAGGCAATAAAGCCGTACACGCCAGCAAAATAATGCGACTTAGCGTTCCTTCCAAAAGCCGTCGCTTGGACAGAGATAAGCTCCGTGAAGTCACAAAGACAGCTGTCGACGAGGAGAGACCGATATAGCTGCCCACGCACTGCGGGAGTCGGGAGGCTCCTCATTGGCCAATGCGAGCGTCAGAAGGCTCTCACTGGCCACGCCAGCGGCGTGGGCTCCAAGCCGTACCACCAGCAAGGCTTCGCGGAAGATGACCACTTAACTATGTTATGCCGTGTGCGATTGCCCTGTGTATTATTGGCAAGACCCTTGCACCGCGTGTCACGGGTAACCAGCACCGCAAGCGCACCGTGAGCAGTCGCCGGTGAATGGCAGACAGGCACGGCAGGCAGCAGGTAGGCAGCACAACCCTGCATGCTGGCACTGATAAGGCCCGGAGTCACAACTTCGCATCCGCATCCCAAAATGGCCCGCGATAGCCGCCGGTCCGGCCATGGCCTGCGATAGCCGCCATCCGACCATGGCCTGCGATAGCCGCCGGTCCGACCATGGCCTGCGATAGCCGCCGGTCCGATTATGGCCTGCGATAGCCGCCATCCAACCATGGCCTGCGATAGCCGCCGGTCCGACCATGGCCTGCGATAGCCGCCGGTCCGACCATGGCCTGCGATGGCCGCCGGTCCGACCATAGCTTGCGACGGCCGCCATCCGACCATGGCCTGGGATAGCCGCCGGTCCGACCATGGCCTGCGATAGCCACCATCCGACCATGGCCTGCGATAGCCACCATCCGACCATGGCCTGCGATAGCCGCCTGTCCGACCATGGCCTGCGATAGCCGCCTGTCCGACCATGGCCTGCGATAGCCGCCGGTCCGACCATGGCCTGCGATAGCCGCCGGTCCGACCATGGCCTGCGATGGCCGCCGGTCCGACCATGGCCTGCGATAGCCGCCGGTCCGACCATGGCCTGCGATAGCCGCCGGTCCGACCATAGCCTGCGATAGCCGCCGGTCCGACCATGGCCTGCGATAGCCGCCATCCGACCATGGTCTGCGATAGCCGCCGGTCCGACCATGGCCTGCGATAGCCGCCGGTCCGACCATAGCCTGCGATAGCCGCCATCCGACCATGGCCTGCGATAGCCACCATCCGACCATGGCCTGCGATAGCCACCATCCGACCATGGCCTGCGATAGCCGCCGGTCCGACCATGGCCTGCGATAGACGTCATCCGACCATGACCTGCGATAGCCGCCGGTCCGACCATGGCCTGCGATGGCCGCCGGTCCGATCATGGCCTGCGATAGCCGCCATCCGAACATGGTCTGCGATAGCCGCCGGTCCGACCATGGCCTGCGATAGCCGCCGGTCCCGGCGTCTCAAACCATCGCACCGCCATGTTTCGAAACAAGCACGCCAGTGTAGCCGGAAAGCCGACGGAGCGGCACCTGCGCCTCTCTCCAGGAAGTGTCGTGGCTGCGGTGGCGCGCGGGAGCACGCCCCAAACTGTAGCGCACGAATGCCGACCGCGGCGGCAGGCGCCGGGCGGACGCGCCTGGCCAGACGACCCAGCGCCAGGCAGCGGCGCCGGCCGCCACGGCCCGCGGCGGCCGGCGCCGCAGCTGT